CAGCCACTCCAAACATTCCACAGCTCCAGGGAAAGTGTCCCAGGCAAAAGGAGCTGCTCTGTGCAATCCTCAGTGTCACATGGAGGGTTTATTCCACTCATAGGACCGTCCCTCTTAATAACTAAGCCCTTGTGGGGTGGAAATGTAGGAACTGGGTGCTGGGGGCAGGTTTGGGCTTTGCCCTGGTCCCTCAGCACCCACAATGGGGCTCTTGTGTGCTTGTGGAGCCTGCAGGATTTCTGCCAGAGCTTCCATGTCACTGCTATAAATGCATTAAATCTGTCATCAAATACAAGCTTCAGCTGACAAAAAAACCATGTAGTTTTACATCCTGAGTCCTGTTGGCTTGTGTGGAAAGCAGATACTCCTAACTATGGGTTTTTTACAGTCAGGGCATGTTTTATTTCACTTGGCTGCCTTTAATGACCTGAGTTATGCACTCCCCTCAGCCCAGCTTTAGTTTCATACTGGGCTGTGAGTTAAAACCAATATCAACTTTCACAGCTTTGCTTCAAGTTCATTAATATTTGTACTGAAATTAAACCCAGCATTGGGTGAGAACTGACCCAGTATTGATACAAGTCTTTAAATGTACTTACAGCTGATTTTGGTTTTTTTTTCTAAAAGAATGCCCTAATCTGATTTTGAAGTGGTTGCCTGGTAGCATTCCTGCATTCTTTGCTGGGGAGAAAAGACATCACAACTGACAGGAAAAAGGAATTGGGAGGTTGGCATTTGCTTTTTATCCTCCCCAGAGAGCTTGGGGTACTTTACAGGCTGTACCAGCAGATCTTTGAGTTTTATTTTATCTCGATTCTGTTCAAGTACTGCTACTTTTCTGGATTATTTTTTCTCCATTGTATCCATCTGCTCAAGTGTTACTACTTTTTTAGATGATTATTTTTTTCTCCATTATATCCATCCCACACGAAGCTCTTCCTTGCTGAGGTTTCTCCCACATCCCCAGAGCATTTAGTTCATTGTACCAATTTGTTCATCCCGTTGCTTTTCCAAACAGAGGCTGTTTTAAGGATTATTGTGCATCTTCTGCTGGGAGTGTGTTGGTTTGGGGCACATCCCTGGAGGTGACCTGGCCCCCTTTTCCAGCCTCACCTTCCTGCTCCCTCCCCTGTGGATTTTGCACCAGCGCTGGTGCTTTGGTGTCCTGCCCCCTCTTCATCTTCCCGAGCAGGCAGATTTTTTTTCTCTCCCCGTGTTTAGCCAGACTCTTTTCTGCCAATTTAGCAAATTTAACGCGCTCTGACTGCAGGCCAAGGAGCAGGAGCAGCTCCTGGGAGCTGGGATTGAGCCATTGTCTAACGACACCCTTGTGCCGAGCTGGGAACGGGCGGGGGAGTGACTGAACTCCCGGCTCAGCTGGAGACAGGCGTCGGGCTTTCCTAATTAATGGCCTTGCCATTGTTCTGGGAGGGCTCCTGATCTGCTCTCCGGGGTATCTTATCGCTGGCATTGTTCCATTTCCTGTTTGTTTTCCGCTAATGTAGCTGTTCTTTAACTCCCGGTGTTTCTGGAGACTAACGCTAAACCTCGCTGGGAGAGCTGCCCTGGGCGCTTAAAACCCCAAACAAACCCCAAATATTCCGCAGAGTAAATGGTTTTATAGGAAAGCAGTACCTTCCCCCCCCTCGGGCCTGAATAAATTCACCCGTGTCCTGACAGGAGTTAATCTTATCAGCTGCCCCCCTCGTTTAACATCTTTTTGTTTTCTCTCCCCCTCCTTCTGTCATTAACTGAAAAAAAGCAGGGTTTTGGTGTTGAGCTTGGGAGATCTTCTCTGCTTGAAGCCTGTTGGGCTGGTGTACCCAGATAAAACCTCAAACTCTTCAAGTGGTGGTGACATCCTCACTAGTTTTTTTTTTTTTTAAATGAGGACAGTTCCTCATTTTTCTTCTGATCCTCCAGAAATTATAACAATGGAATCATAGAATGGTTTGGGTTGGAAAGGACCTTAAAGGTGATTGAGTTCCAACCCCCTGTCATGGGCAGGGACACCTTCCACTAGCCCAGGTTGCTCCAACCTGGCCTTGGACACTTCCAGGGATCCAGGGGCAGCCACAGCTTCTCTGGGCAACCTGTACCAGGGCCTCCCACCCTCCCAGCCAACAATTCCTTCCCAATATCCCATCTATCCCTGCCCTCTGGCAGTGGGAAGCCATTCCCTGTGTGCTGTCCCTCCATGCCTTGTCCCCAGTCCCTCTCCAGCTCTCCTGGAGCCCCTTCAGGCCCTGCCAGGGGCTCTCAGCTCTCCCTGGAGCCTTCTCTTCTCCAGGGGAACCCCCCCAGCTCTCCCAGCCTGGCTGTGCCATTACTGCTCCTCTGAGGACCTTCAGGAGTTGCCTCAGCTGGACAAATAATCAGTGACCCAGATAATCCCCAGGACACTGTGTGTGCTGCCTTTCCAAGGCTGATTCCAAGGAGACTGATTCCATTGAAATGTAGCTCCCTAAAACAATGGGACAGTTGTTTCCTGGATGAAGGGAATCTTCACACTGGTTTGTGACTGAAGTCCCACCTGGACACGAGGCTTTGGCAGCAGGATCAGTGTGCTGAGTCCCACTGAATTCCAGATTACATTGGGCCTGCTTTCCTGGGGCTGCAAATGTCCATAAAATAGAGGGACAATGTGTCCTGCCTCTCCTCTCTCTTTTGTGCCCTCTCTCTGAGTTCCCAAACCCAGGGAAATCTGGTTATGGAGAAAATTATTGACACAGCAAAACCAACATTGCAGGAGGGGAGAAATGAGTGAGTGGGTCTGAGCATCCTTTAGCTGAGTCTTATCCATACCATGACCTGAGTGAGAGTGATATTCCTGGATCTTGATATTCCCTGTACCAATTCCCCTGAACATCTCCAGGGATGGGGAATCCAGAGCATCTCTGGACAAGTCCAAGGAGTGCAGTGGTGTAATTTGGGAATTTGAAGGGGTTGCATTTGCCTGTTCCACGACCTTACACCGAATACCAGATATTTTGGAATACACAAGAACTGTCCAAAGGCCAGTTAATGAACAAACAGGGAAAATTAAGAGGTGGGATTCAGTAGCTGGATGCAGACACAGCATCTTGGTAGCACTTTAAAGCTGAAACATAACATAAAAAATGGAGCATCATTAGGAAAACCTGAGATTTATCCCAATTTCTGGTAAGTTCAGGTGACTTTTGACTTCCCATTCAGGTCCTGAAACCCTGGCACATCCAGGCCATGCTGTGACATTCTCAGTGTCCTCATCTTTCCTCTGGACAGTGGGAACAAATCCTGATTTGCTGGCAACCATCCAACTCTATCCTAATGTAACTTGGTGGGAAAAGTTGACTTTAGAGGAATTTTGTGGCAGTCAAGTGATCTCTGAAATGTGGATGTCAAGGCTGCTGTTCATCCATTTGTGGAGCAAACTGGATTATTACAGTAGAATTAGGAATTATGGCTGTGACTGTCACGCAGAGAGATGGAAATACTTTATAAATCTGCATTTATTCCCTTCCTTTGTGTTTATCTTTTATCTCTTCATGCTCCAGATCTTCAGTTGTTCTCACTGGATTTTTTCCCAAGGACCAGGAAAGGCTTTTCCTTTGGAAGCTCTTTATACTCCCTGTGTCTTGTCAGGACATCTTTCCATGATGTGCCAGAAGTCTGGGCTGGCTCTGGTGACTCAGGGATTGCACCATAACACTGATAAGATAATGTTTAATCATGTATTCCAAAGCAGGAGATTTGGGTCACGGGATTAGTTTGTTAGGAAGCTTCAATCAAGAACATATTAATTAGAATGCATCCTGCATCCAGGCAGATGTTTGAATTACTGGATAAAATGGAACTTCTGATGCAGAGAGCTGCAAAAAAATAGATTTACTTCATTTTTTTTTTAAGCAAAACCTGTGGATTTAGGTCAAAAGTGGGATGTGAACACGTGGCAGTGAACTTGCAAAAAAATTCCTTTTTTCCTGCTCTTCTCCCAGTGTGTTCAACAGGAATAAGTGCTCCCTGACTGTGTGAAGGAGTTAATTAATATTCCTGCTTTGAAGGGGCTTCTTAGTGGGGGAGAAAACAACCTTTTGAGGTGTGCAGTGTT